GAGCTCTTGTAGATAGCGCAAGAGCTGTTTAAATCAAATCACCGGAGCTTGAACAGTTGTGTCTCTTGTCGGAAAGTACCTCCCACATTCCATCCAACCATACTACCGCTCTTGTTTCAGTAGAAACACATCGGATCATTGTTTGACGTGGCAAGAGTGGGCCCAGTATCTATTGAGTTCATTTTTTGGGGTCAACACTTTCTATTAATTTAAACATATTTCTATTAATTTATCTTTACAGAACATTAATAGCTTAAACTTAACTTTAATCCTTTCTGATCGAATCTCTTTTTATTCTTGAAAGTGCAAACATCACATATTATATAATGTAACAAACCATGATGCAGAAAACAACCTTTCGTGAAATCAATCTTGGAAGATATTGAGAATAATAAGCATGGGAGAGTGAAAATCAACGGAAATTAAGGTATTTCCTCTCGATAAAGAAGAAAAGGTTTGAACAATAAAAAACAATCAATTAAGTCTTACCCTCGAATAAGTTCGACTATCGAATCTTTTTTAGTATTCCATTTGGTTCATTCTTACGTCACTTTGAGCGTCTAATACTGATAAATAGTTTTGAACAAGAAAAATAATTTATACGTGAATGCTGGTGTTGAACGAGTTCATTTATAAGTTAAGGTACTATATAGAGATAAATAAAATCTTGTCTTCAATGGAGTTATTTATGCACATGCGAGATTTGATAATTTACAAACTTTTTAAATGGTCGATGACGAGATTCGAAGTATGTACTTTTATATGTTCTATAATCACGTTGAATCGAATTATCTAAAAATACGTATAAAGGAATGTATTTGTGAATTTTTGTTGTGTAGCATTAGTATAAAACTATAAATATAAGGTGTAGAATGTGTAAGCATGCTGCAAGGCTAAAAGGGAAAAGGGCTAAAAGCAAAGGCAAGCTTGCCCATACTCTGATCTCACATTCCCCTATCGCCTTTTCGTCTTGATTTGAACTTTTGTGCGCCTAATCAAATAATTATTGATTTTTGCTTTGATGGAATAATTAAATGACAGCTTATTCATACTTAATTAATTGAAAAGTTATTTCCTTTCTCTGATCCATATCTCACTAGTATAATTAATTATACATGACCACAAACAAACAAAATGATGATCAGAGAAAGCTATGGTTCTTACGTTTTTATTTTATTTTACTTTCACTTTTATCCTTTGAATTTTTTCATTGAAACTCTATCATGTAATTTTTTTTTTTTTAATCTTACTTCATTATCAAATTATAATAAAGAAAATGCACATAAATAAAATGAGAAAATAGAAAGAAAGACAGTACTAAACCAAATAATCATTCTTGGAGGAGTGTTTTTAATGAAGTCCAAACATGCACTAGGTCTACAAGTATCAGACGAGCAGTTTTATTTGGATCTTTTAAAAAATTGGTTTTTTTTTTTAACCAAACTCTTCATTTGATTTCAGTACTTTTCAAAATAATGATTTTGTAATCATAGTTCTTTCATGCTTATGCTGTATCAGTTTTTATTCGAGCAACTAATCTTATTTATATGAATCGAAAGAAATTGAGAATAAGATTATTGTAATATATGGTTCATATAGAGTGAAATATATATTTGCTGGAATAAATAGGTCGATGTCGGAGCGGAGTGCACCGAACGTCTTGCCCTAAAATCTTGTATAAACTAAGGTTAAGGCTAATATATATATAGAGAAATGATCT